TACCATACTATACCATACCATTACCATACCATTACCATACTATACCATACCATTACCATACTATACCATACCATTACCATACATTACCGTACAATTACCAAACCATTACCATACCATGCCATTACCATACCATACCATACTACACCATTACCATACCATACCATTACATACCATTACCATACTATACCATACCATTACCATACCATACCATTACCATACTATACCATACCATTACATACCATTACCATACTATACCATACCATTACCATACCATACCATTACCATACTATACCATACCATTACCATACCATACCATTACCATACTATACCATACCATTACCATACCATTACCATACTATACCATACCATTACCATACCATTACCATACCATACTATACCATTACCCTACCATGGTTGCGTCAGGAAGAGCATCCGCCATTAAAACAATCGCCAAGTCTTCGTGCGAGTTAGTTTGCTGTGGTGACCCCTGAAGAAGGAGCAGCCGAAAGAACAACTTCTGCACCTACCTAATACTTGAACGTGTCTTCCTTTGATACTGTTTTATAAATTCTCTAACATGTTTTTAATACAAAGCTCACTGCCGTACAAAGTTTGTTGTACATTTATTCAAATAGAAGCGTCGGAGAAATTTTGAAATGTTCAGTTTGTTTAGAAATTAAAATAAATTGTACTAACTGGTGTAGTTTGATTCTGAGCACAGTATACCCAGTACAAAAATGTAGACTACACCACAGGTGAATGTTGACTCAGCATATCAGCAGCTGTGTTTTCATGAGACGTGCTGATGTCCTGCAGCTCGTCAGACTGAAGTCCAGCTGAAAACCCTCAGGGAGCAGGAAGGCGACATGAGGATCCAGGTAGGGCGACGGGTTGTCGTGGGCAACATGTCTCTCTTGATGAATGCAACAGTTATTTTGTCTCCTCATCTCGACACGTACTCCCAGAAGTTTGATGAAATCCAGGGCATGGGGTCAAAGAGCAGCAGCGTGGACAGCAGCTTCAAACAGGACATGGACAACGTAAGAAGGCTTTGACCCAAAACCCAGACAAGAAAGATTTCTAAGACTTCACTTTCCTACCTGAACGATATATATTTTTAAGTTTGCATCATGCACTTTCTTTGGATGGCAAAGAAAATGGAAAAGCTGTAGGAAGAGTGCCACTCATGGAAGACTCGATTTGATGCCTGCAACAAGAGTCTCATCAACATAGTGGCAGATGTAAGTCCTTTAGTCCCCACCGCCAAGACAAGGCTGATACTGTGCTGTGTGTGGTGTATCTGTTAGCAAAATATCTTGTGAACTACCGGATGAACGTTACCATTTTTATTTAAAACTGTGGCTTTGACTTTTGCTGTCAACCTTGTTTACTCTTAGCAAATAACTCGTAAAACACTAGATTTCAATGACATTTCATAAAGTAATCACTGGATACACATCTACAACTGCCTAATGTATGTCAAGATGGCTGCCACAGCTAGGTGACCTTAGCTGACGCAGAAATGCTTTTTTGGAAAGTTCACAGATAGCGAGGTAAAATTTAATGTAACAGGCACAGGTACTGACAGGTAATGTGAGCATGGATGGATAGGTAGGTAGGTAGCAATGCAGATGAACAGATAGAATACTCAAATAAATATAGCATACCTACTTTGCGTTTTTTCACCTATCGTGGTGGTGTGTGGAACATACCGTGCTTTACGCCGTATAAGTCGCATCTATCATCAGTCACCGCTGACCACCTGGAAATGTGGGCCGGTATTGTGCCAAAAATTGATTGCCTGCCAAATGGCGGTCGCGGGAGTGCACACGGGAGGAATTTAACAAGATTAACATTTAAAAACAATTTGTTTGCTCAAAATTATAGTAAAGGTGTCTCAGTCTAACTTTTCCTTGATAAATGCACTTTGTCAAATCAGCACATTTCTCCTGGGCGGCGCGGCGAAATGAAGCTGATTTGACGTTTGCTCCAGAGCGAGACGAAGGTGGCTTTGTATGGCAAGCCAAGTGTCGCATTAATAGCCACTTTTACCTATTAATGAGACGCTTGGCTTGCCATATCAGTCGAGGGCCCTCTAGTGGCTGAAAATGGTAGTGTTCAGTATTTTCCATGTCAGAATAAATTAAGTCATCAGATCTCAGCCAAAAATTGGTTTATAAATATGGGGGGAAAGTGTATTAGTCACTTCGGTGTATAAGTCGCAGGACTTGCAAATTTATGCAAAAAGGTGCGACTTATACAGTGAAAAATACGGTAACCCCCACGATCATTGAGGGACTACTGTACTTGCATTCCCTGTTAGTTCCTGTCCAGAAAAACACTCATTTGGAAAACTACAAACATTCACTTTTCAGATCCCTCAATGACGAGCCTCGTTGGCGTTCCGCTTGTATTTACAGCGAGCGTTGTGTCAGATATGTCCCGTTTGTTAACTTCCTCTGCAGAAAACTGTGAACGAGAAGGAGTTTGAGCTTCTCACCACCCAGAACCAGAGACTGGAGAGTCTGTGCAGGGCTTTGCAGGAAGAACGGAAGAGCGTACATGAGAAGGTCCAGGGAGTTCAACCGGACGCAAACACCTCGGAGGAAACGACCAACGCAGAAACCGAGGTGCAGGAGGCTCCCAAAGATCTAAAGGTGGAGAACTCAGTTCAGAATGCTGCACTTCGGCTCCACTAACCCAGAAACTGGCTAAACTGAAAGCGGAGCAGGTCTTACTGGAGGAGCTCACTGTTTCCTTCACGATCTCTCATGTTGCACCCACAGAAACATCACACGCACTCTCTGAGGTCATCCAGGAGAAGCACATGGAAGAGAGGAACCACAAGGACAGCCACGATGATGGATGTCAACAACAGAGAGAAACAGAAATGGAATCTGCTCATTAATGCCAAAAACCACAGCGACAAGAAACTGCATGCACGATTTCTAAGAATAAAAATGAAGAATGCTGTTTTTGTGTTCACCGTTTTATCTTCAGCCACAGAAGAAGGTTTTAATTTTTTTTATCTTAAACAGTCATCTATTTTAGGTACTTTAAATTTTACGAGTTTCTTAAATTTGACCAAAGAATAATTTTGAGCTCTGTTTGACTTTTTTTTTATTTTTTATTTTAACACTATTGACGATTTAGTATACCAGTCTGCTGTTTGCTTGCCTTTACACTCACACATAAGAATGTCCACTAAAATCACTAAATATATTACAATTCAAACCCTATAGATAACAAGGTTTAGATGCTTTTACTCCTGTGTTTGTAACTTTATTCAAGAAAAAATAAAACGGCTATTACTGTGTATTAAATACCTGCATTAAATATCTTCTGCAGAAGAACTGTAGCTTATATCAGCTTGAAACAAATCCCACTAGTTTATTCTTCAGCTTGTGTGTTTTTTTTTAATTATTATTATTATTACTGCCACTCTTATAACCATTATTTCATTGACTCAGTCTGTGGTTATCAAGAATTCAAATATGTTGTTTCAAATCCATTACTAAGTGATGCTCGGTTGTAGTTCCAGACATGACCTCCTCACTAGGGGGGCGATAGTGAGCAACGCTGTTGTTTCTTAAACGCTAATTACAACAACGAATTAGTCAAAAGGCGGAAATGACTTCAAACATGGTTTTTCACATCGGGTTCTATGTAAATCAATGAGCTTCCTAATGTTAAGAAAACACCGGGCGTTTTTAGGGTACGTGCTCGCTTGTTGTCGCAGATAACCGGTTTAACACGAGAAAAGTTTTCCGTTCTCACCGGGTGTCGCTGTTTGCAGCTTTTTTAGCTTTGCTAACGTGTTAGCATGAGCTAACCGCCGTTAGCTGCGCTTTCTCCACGTCGCGTAATTATTTAATTTACCAGAGAAGTTTAGTGTTTTAAAACAAGGTTGCTTTGAAACACCTAGTTTTTTTCCTATCTAAGGGAAGAAAACAATTCCTCAGATTTAATTTGAGTTCTGTGAGCTAAAATTAGCTTCTTTTTTTAATGAAAACTGCTTAACTGAGATGTTTTTGTGCTCAATTTCAGTTTAAAGTGAATTTATTGGATCTCCTTCTTCCAGGACCTAAACAATGAGTACACAAGTAAGCTTTAAAATAGTAGACAAACAGTCTAATGTTCTGTTTGGTTGTTGTTTCATCACAAACTTAACTTTTTAAACGTGTTTTTCCTTCAGTATAGCATTCTGTTCAAGCAAGAACATGGTGAGTAACAATACTGATGAAAATACCAGCACTGCTTTGTGGTTTGCACATTTTCATTTATCACAGCACGAATAATAACTTATATTCTGGTGTACACTCAATGGCAAATAAAGTTAGACAAATAGATAATAAATGGGTAATGAGATAAACTCTTGCCAGTAGTTCTTTGTTGCACCACATCTGTATTTTATAACAACTCTGGACGTAACTAATGACAAATGGTACTCTTCATCAATCTGTCTCTTATTGCTGCTCTCAGATCAGCTCTGTAGGTTGGAGTTTGACCGTTTTCTTCAACGTCCATGAGAGATTTTCAACTGGATTGAGATCCTGACTGTTTTCAGGCCACTGACATTATTTGTCTTACTGGAACAAAACTTTTCACGTTCTTTGCTCTATGGCAAGATGCATTATCATAAAAACATCCTTTCAACTGGTGGAATAAGAAACATGACCAACATTTCTATGTAGATTTTGACTTTTATTTAAGAAGTATTGAGTACCATCTGCCTGTGCCTACCAGACATTCCCCACAGTACATGTTATTCTTATTTATTTCAGTTTCTTACAGTTTGGTTGCAAATGTTGACTCCAGTCTGACGCCACAATTTGCTGTAAATGTTTTGTCTTGATGCTTAGATGCCTTCCTTGGTCTACCAGTATGCTTCCAGTTTACAACCTTGCCATTGTGTTTGGATTTAGTACAGATTTTAGACAGCTGACTGGAAATGACGACTTCTTTTGCAACATGTCATGATGATTTATCTTCATGTGCAGGTTTGCGTTATGGTCAAACAGCTCGTTTTTGGTTTCTATTAGAACTTTTACAAACATATAAAATGTGACTGGAGCCCTTTAGAGATGGAGCTCTTAAAAAAAAAAAAAGTTTAGCATGTTTAAGCGTGCTTGCTCAAGTGACGTTTCCCCACAAACTAGTTTATTGAGTTTTCTCACATAAAACACCCTGCTTACTGTAAAATCCTTCCAGAGCACCAAACCTGTGTTTTTCAGTCGTTGCACGCCATTCCCAGCAGCACAGTTAGTTTTGTGTAAGATGAATCGCTGAGCTTTACCTGTATTTTTTCTTTGTTTCTTTTCAGCACACGATGATGCCATCTGGACAGCAGCGTGGGGAAAAAGTGAAGCGGACGGCTCCGAGACCATCATCACCGGTTCTCTTGATGATATGGTGAAGGTGTGGAAATGGTGAGATGTTCTTTAAACAGACTTTTTTGGGGGATCGGTGCAGCTTCTGCATTATTGGTAGTGTTTTTTATTATTATTACCTTTATTTAAACGGGCATATCCCACTGAGATCACAGAACTCTTTTACAAGCGAGGCCTGAAGACAGCCTAACATGCATGTTTTTATTCTGTGGGAGGAAACTGGAGTACCTGGAGAAAACCAACGCAAGCACAAGAAGAACATGCAAACTCCACCCAGAAAGACCCCAGGTCCAACCGGGGATTGAACCCAGGACCTTCTTGCTGCGAGGCATCAGTGCTAACCACTGAGCCGTCGTGTTGCCGCTCTGGCTAATGATCAAAAGAATGAGATCATGGAAACCGCCGGTCAAAACGATTTTCTCTGAAGGGTAGCTGGACTCTTCATTAGAGATGGGGTGAGAGGTCTTGGTTATCTGGGAGAGACTTGAAGCAGAGCAGCTGCTCTTCCACATCTAGAGGAACTGGTTGAGATGGTTCAGGCATCTCGTAAGGAAGCCCCTCCCCCATGATGCTTCCCTAAGGAGGTTTTCTGGGCATGTCCAACTGGGAGGTAGACCCAGGACACTCTGTAGGGACTATGTCTCTCAGCTGGTCTGGGAACCCTCCAGAGATCTCAGCAACTCTGGAGATGAAGGAAAACCTGAATAAAGACTGACATTTTCCAGACTGGGAAAACTGGGAATTTGAACACTGGTCAAACCTTTCTCAGATTTTGACGTGCACGTGTATAAATATTAGTATTCTGGCATCATTGAGCCCATGTTCTGCGCCCACATGGTGCAGGGGTCTTTACTGATTGGCTCTCGTGCCTTTTGAGTATCTGATGTTATACAATATAATTAATTCTATTATAATATTTCGTTATGCTCGTACTGCAGGCTACAGTATACTCACCCTCGTCCCTGAATGTGACCCTGCCCTCCACCTTAATGACTCGGTTCTGAGAGTTTCCTGTGGCTGAAAAATCTCCTGGAATATCAGGATTTACACCGACAGACGGCTTTTATGTGCCGTTTAACTTTGATGAGTTAAATAAAATGTTTTTGTCGAAGCCGAGCTGTCATAAACTCTGAGCAAAGTGTTTGGGCTCGTTCTGGGCTGGCTGAATCCTTCTGACCTCTGTGGTCACGATGGGAGCTTTGGCTCCAGCATCGTTTGGGATCTCAAAGTTTTTCTTCTTCCATGTTCAGTTCTTGTATTTTTCATTTTGGGGCGTAATCGAGGTGTCAAATTTTGACGAAAGCTGGTTGTCCATAATTGAATAAATGTATTTTGCTGCAGGTCGGATGAGAAGCTGGAGCTGCAGTGGACTCTGGAGGGCCACCAGCTGGGTGTGGTCTCGGTGGACATCAGTCGTAACGGAGCCATCGCCGCCTCCAGCTCCCTCGATGCACACATCCGCCTCTGGGACCTGGAGTCGGGAAAACAGATCAAGTCCATGGACGCAGGACCGGGTGGGACTGATTTACACAACTGCTGAGTTTACAGCATTAGAACACGCTTCCTTTATAATATTTGCCTCTGAATCTGTTTTTATTAATATTTTGTTTTCATTAATAATCCTTTTAAAACGGCTGATGGTAATTAGAGCTTTTTTTTTTTTGTTGTTGGACGTTTAACCCTTCCTCTGGCCTCGTTAGTTGATGCGTGGTCGGTCGCCTTCTCACCGGACTCCAAACACATCGCCACAGGAAGCCATCACGGTAAAGTCAACATCTTCGGTGTGGAAAGTGGGAAGAAGGAATACTCCCTGGACACGCGAGCAAAATTCATCCTGAGCATAGCTTATGTGAGGAATTGATCTTTTTTATGTTTTGTGTTTTGGCTCGCTGGTGCTGAAGTTTTTCTCCCGCTCTTCACGCGTTCAAAAAATGTATTCGAAACAAGAAATCTTATTTTTTCCAGCTGTAAAACTTCATTTGACGTTTTGCTCCTCAGAGTCCTGATGGGAAGTATCTGGCCAGCGGAGCTATCGATGGAATCATCAACATCTTCGACATCGCCACCGGGAAGCTGCTCCACACACTCGAAGGCAGGTTGCATGATCAGCGTGCACGGTTAAAGCTCCAGCAGAGTCCTTGTTATGAACGATTCTGAGTAGATTTATAAAAAAGTGCAGTCGAGCTGCGAGTGTGTGGCCAGTTTGTGAGGGGTTATTTGAAACCAGGGTACCCGGAGAAAACCCACACGTGCACGGAGAACATGCAGACTCCACCCAGAAAGGTCCCCAGCCGGGATTTGATCTGGCGACCCTCTCGCTGAGAGGCAGCAGCTCTACTAACTGCACCACCGTGCTGCCTACCCACTCTGTCTTGCATCTGGAAAACTACAGACATTCACAACTCGAATCCCTCAGCGACGGGGGCGTCGGCTTATCTGGCCGTTTGTTTTTATCTGACAGAGTTTAAGTTTGAAGGCAGCTGAGCTCATTCGTGCTGGAAACACGTTTCCTGTCTCCTCAGGTCACGCCATGCCCATCAGATCCCTCACCTTCTCTCCAGACTCCCAGCTGCTGGTCACAGCCTCCGACGACGGCTACATCAAAATATACGACGTGTGAGTTTCTGCCTCTTCTGTAGAAGATCACGGTGAGAAAAGTTCTCGTTCACAGCAGGAACTGATTAAAAGAGAATGATTTGTTAGGCAACACGCCAACCTGGCCGGCACGCTGAGCGGACACGGATCCTGGGTTCTTAATGTCGCCTTCTCCCCCAACGACACCCACTTCGTCTCCAGGTAAAAATAATATCCGTAAACAAACCACATTATTTCTTGCTGTGTTGAGGCTTGTAAACGGCGCTTTAACAACAGAAGTGGCCCAAAGGGAAATTTAAGTCATTCTTAATGTCACGCTCTGTGTAACGCTATAGACAATATCTTACCTGTTGTAGATGGCTCTTTGGATGACCTCATATTGGAGAAACTAATGAGCTTAATGGCTTGTCCAAAGTAGACCTGTCACGATAACAAATTTTGCTGGGCGATTGTCTCAGAAATTATTGCGATAAACAATAATATTGTTTGAAATTTGACAAGAATTACTAATTATTGTCAAATTTAAGAAGACATTTGGTTAATTTTTTTGTGTAGTACGTTTTTTCAACCACCGGGTGGGAGTATAAGACTGCTTGAAGCGAAGGATGGATAGTGAGGGTGCGAGCAGTGTGTCTCTTTAAGAAAAATGGGAGGGAGGCCCCTTGACGTGACATGGGCTGTCTCTCCTTCCTGTTTTTCATTTCTCAAAATGGCGGACGCTCTGTTTGACGTGTGGTTTGAGCTCTTTAGCATTTTTCACATAAAGATTTTAATAAAAAAAATCAGCAAACAAGTTCTCAGCTTCTTCTTCAGAGAAAAACAACTTTTTACACGAAGGCACGAGTTTCAACCGTGAATTTTGGAGCTTCGATAAGACGGAGGTTTTTTCCCGAGGTCGGCCTGTTAGCTTAGCTTCTCAGCTTAGCTGCTTTTAACGACTCAAAAACACAATTTTGGACGGTTAAAATGGATTTTAAAGAGAAAGGGGGGAGTCAGTGAAGAACCAGAGTTGAGTCTTTTGTCATCCAGTGTCTTCAGTAGAAAGTGAGAGACACGAAGAAACAATAAAACTGATAAATGAAAATGAGGTTGATCATTTTGTCATACAATTAATTGATTTATTGTTTATCGCGACAGGCCTAGATCAAAGTAAACCGTTTCTCCAGAGTGAGAATTCAAAAACCCATCTACAACATGTAAGATATTAAATGTTTACAACCGCTCCACAGAACCCCCCTTCAGAAGTTTCACCCCAACACTCGCCTATAGAGTGACACGCTCGTCAGCTGAAACTGAAAAATGCCAAACGTTTCTCCTCTGCTCCTCTCAGCTCATCTGACAAAAGTGTGAAGGTTTGGGACGCCAGCTCCAGAACTTGCATCAACACTTTCTTCGACCATCAGGACCAGGTGACTCTTCTGTTCGTTACTAAACTCGGTGAAGAAATCTGCGGCGTCACGGTGCCTTCTCCTCCCGACTCGGCTTTGATGTTTCGGCTCGCGTGGAAACCAATCAGCCGAGCTGTCGGTAGATGTTTGCAGACGTGTGGGGAGCTGGATCTGCTCTAAGCTGCGGGCTGAAGTAGCACAGCTCCTCTGAGACGAGATCAGAGGCTCGAGAGTCTGCCGTGCTGTTCGTGTTCACCGTCGTGTGAAAAGCAGAAAATCTGAAGGGACAAGTCGCTGCCAATTAACCGCTCGCCTTCAAGCTCCTGCTCATTTCATGTTTCAGTCGGGGTGCAGCGGTTCATCAGGCGAAACGTTCTTAAATATCTGAATCATCGCTTGTAATTGGGGAAGATTTAAAATTTGGATCGTTGGAAACATTCATTCTGAAGAGAATTGAAACTTTTATCTAAAGTGAAATGGTTTTCATCTTTTAATGATTTTGAACGAGTCGCTTTTATTACGTCCGGATTATTGTCTCGCCGTCACAGCAACTTAAAACACCCCGTCAGTCCGTGCACGCTGAGAGCATGACTTAAAATATACGTGAGGTGCCGACTTCCATTTTGATGTGAAAATCTAGCACTGCTTATAAACACCCAGTCATTTGAGAAAACATGCTTTCTGGTTTTTATATTAAAAGTTTATCTCCCTCACATGATTGGGGTGGTCAAAAATAATATATAGTGGCCAAGGCCACCATTGGCCACCCCCTGGCTCCACCTTTGCACCTTCACTCTGCACTGCCTCGGACAACAAAAAGAACCTGCGTGTCTTCTCGTCAGTGTAACTCGTACCCACTAGACCAGGGCTGTTCATCTAAACTGCTCAGGGGGGCCACAGTTACTGAAAGTCAAGAGCTCAGGGGCCGGACATCCAGCAGTTAACTAAGTTTTACGGTTTAAAATCTAATTTTATTTAAAAAATAACCCGGCGGTGTTGAACTGTGGGAGGAAACTGGAGTACTTGGAGAAAACCCACGCATGCACGGAGAGAACGTTCAAACTCCAGCCAGGATCGGGATTCGAACTGCCTCGTACCCTCTTGTCCTTTAGATCTGACGTCGTCAGAGCAGTACAGCCGTGTGAACTTTGACCTCAGGTCATTTTGTTTGGGCGCTCAGACCTTTCCGTCAGCGAGTGTCTGAATCGAATATACGTGAAGCTTCTCCGAGCAGTCGGCGGACATTGATGGAACTCGTCTGTCTTCAGGTGTGGAGCGTAAAGTACAACAGCAACGGCTCCAAGATCGTCTCTGCTGGCGACGACCGCGCCATCCACATCTACGACTGCCCGTCGTGATGAAAAGCGGCGTGCACGAGGACCACATGCCCGCAGAGGTCCACTCAAACTTATGTAAATGTTTTTTTGTTTTTGTTTTTTTTGCACTGGCTAGAAAAGATTCAAATAAAATTTGTTTTGGTACTTTTGTTTCTGATGTTTTTTCTTTGAACTCGACGAGTGCACGTTGACTTCAGTGCAGTAATTTGACCGATTAACGAGAAAAAGTAAAACTGAATTCTGAAATATGGGATTGATATGGAGCTTTTAATGTTTTGAGTTGAAACTGTAACTTTTGGATTGCCAGTACAAAAAATAAAAATTGTTTGAAAGACAGTTTTATTTGTGAATATTAAAATTAATCACCTGCTGCTTATGTTTATTAAGGTTTAATTACAGCAATCTTAAAACGCTGTGGTACGTAACCGTTCATTAGAGACGTATTAAGCAGATTCAAGACGTGGTTATTAAGGAAATGCGTCTTTAAATCGCCTGGTTGGGATGGGATCTAGTAGACGTGTGACTGGTTTGGATGAAGCTATTATTTTTGACAATTCAGAAACTGTCCAAACATATATCAGGTTCTAGGGACATTTTTAAAGTTGTCTCATCTGACACGGAACCAAGACACTCATGAAGTCATCACTGCTTATATGGGGGCTGAGATGGTGTAGAGGAAGGGCAGCCAGCTTGGGACCTGAAAGTCCCAGGTTCGATCCGTAGTCACTGCATACCGCGTGGTGTCTCTGGGCAGCACACCTCATCCCCAAAATGCCCCCCCCAACAGCCGCCCACCGCACCACCCGGCAGTGGATGGGTTAATGCAGACTAATTTTGCCATTGTATGGAAACATACAGTGCTGACATTGTGATGACATTATTATTATTATAGTTGTAGGGATACATGAATCAGCAGATATAGGATTTGTCATTAGACCAGCTATAGTACTAAAAAAAGTACTTGGGGTTGTTTTTTATTCTCATCAATTAAAGATGAGTAATATAAAGTTCTAGCTTTACAGAGCGCTTTTTTATACGTTAGCAACAGTGGTTAATTTGAGCCAGATCCTGCCGGAACAAGATCCAGGAATTTTCATCTTGACCCGTTCTTAAAGTCATTGCACATTTTTGTTTTGATTATTAAAAAAATGCAACGAGAGGAGACGTTGCCCTCAGCCCGGCGGACCCAGTCTGTGGAGTGGATGTTCCAGCTGCAGCACGCGCGGCGCACCAGCTACACGCTCCATGGAGGGGCAGGAGGAGCCTCTAGGCTGGGGGGTGAGGACGGAGGGACAGATGGTCACATTTACGCACGGAGGTTCTGCGCGGAGTCCTTCCCGACAGAATCGGAGCTGCTCACACCAACCTGCTGTTTTTCTCCAAAATAGTAATTTTATTGTGTTTATAAATGTAGGTAAATGTTGATGTATGTTAAAATACACCACAATGCAGGAAATGGCATCTCTGTTATTCAAAATTTTCTGATAAGCACCTGCTAAAGTGAAATCTACTCAGTGACTGTCGTCATTTAATGTAAACTCAGACACAACAGGACTTTGAGGAGATATTACGAAGTTATTAATCTCGATGCCATAGGTCCAAACCAGGTGAAGAGTGTGATGATGTGAGTCGGTGTATGGACGTTTTAAATTAAACCAACTGATGAAGGCTATGCTTGAGTCATCACTTTCAACATCTACATGAACATTACTCATTATTATGACTTTATCAGTATTTAATAGTACGTCAGTTAAGAATTCAGACAAAAACTGAGCCTAGGAGCCGGGTGGACGGTATGGAACAACTTGTGAGAGTGGCCGTTCCGTTTTCCATTTAGGATGGGATAAACTTAAGAGACAGAAACTCAAAAGTATTATTAGTTTAGTATTAACAGTCCCGACTGAAAAACAGAAGCTATACCTCCGCCTTGACCTGTTGTTCTAGGAACATGAAAATTTAAATAATTAGACTGAGCGGATTCATTTATACCAACAAAATCTTCCTGTTTTAGACGGGTTTCTGTCAGAACTTTTTTTAAATTCTTCAATAAGCATTCACATTGCATTTTCACAGGAAATGCAATTTATCTTGTTTTAATTATCTTTGCTACGTTAATACAAATCAAAATGCAGATCAGAGAACTCTTGAAGCTCGAGCAGATTAGTGGGTTTAGTGCTCCCTCTAGTGAGCACTGCATCAGGGTTTTAAACCTCATGTTGAAGAAATCACCAACACAGTGACGAGACTTCATCATACTGTTCATCTATGCAAAGGGCTCAGTGTTCAAAACACGTCACCTTTTGCAAACCTTTATTCCCCAACAGCTAATCTGTATAGGTAACCTTACAATTTTATACAGGGCATCATTATCCTAATATTTGTTACAATGTACAAATAATCTTGAGCGCTTGCATTCACACAAACCCTGTATTCAATATGAACAGCGACGTTAACAAATATAGGTTTTATTTATTTAAAAAAAATGGACAAAACTTTTGTTTTCTGGCAGTTAATCTGAACGTGGCGGCTGGTCGTTTGCTGCACCAGCCTTGACGGACGTGTCAAACAAAGTGAGCTTAGTTGACTCTGAAGGCAACTGTGTAGTTCCAAGTTGCTGGTGTGGTGCTGCCCCCCCCCCTTTTCCCCCAAAACTAAGGAGAAATAAAATAAAATCCTGCAACCACAGCGGCAGATTTGATCCTCGATCATCTAAACCTGTGGTTCCCAACCCTAGTCCTTGAGGAACCCCATTATTGGTTTCCCTACTTTGAATGAATGGGTGGTTAACAGGCTTCTGCAGAACTTGAGGAAGTCATTAAATCACTGAATCAGGTGTGTTGGAGAAACAACATGCAGGATGGTGTTCCTCAGGGACCATGGTTGGGAACCATTGATTTAAACTGTTAAAAAATATATATAGTGCAAATTTACACCTCCAGGCATAGCCCATGGGGGGGAAATGCTGGGTCAACTTCTTTGCACCATGATAAAATATAATTTGTTTTAAAACGGAGCTGTTCTCACCAGACCAGAAGTCTCTTAGAAGCTTTGCAGGGAGCACATTTAGAAACACCTGCTGCCGTAAGACGGTGGAGGTGGTTTTGTTGAGCTGGCATCAACGGACAGGAAAACAGAAGGATGAAGGCAAAACGGAGAACTTCTACACAGAGCGGCTATTTTACTATAGGTAGTAACTCTGCGTACAGGAACAGACTTAGAAACCCTTTAGACCTCAGAATTTTCCTTTAAAATACATTTCTCCTTCCTGATTGTCTTTTTTCTGTCATTCAGTAGCAATATATTAATATACTGGAATATTATCCCTCACACTCGGGCAAAAACACGTACCCGTATCTGGATGTGTACCTGAACTTAAATCATATTAGGTCATGTGGATAATGAAGCTGGCAGAAATATCTGATTCGTATAATTGGATCTGACGAACAGAGAAAGTCGTGTTCAAATAAACTTAAACACAGAGGTCTTTGTGCGTTTGTCAACGGAAAACACGTAAAGCAGTGACAAACAGGAGACACATCTGGTCTCTGTCCTGCAGTCCTGGTCCCCCTCTTCCCGTCTTTCACCAGTGTCTGGACTCGATCAGCTCGGCCCGCAGGCTCAGCCTCTTCAGAGTCTCGTATCCCACCACGATGAGCACGGAGGTGGGCGTGGCGGACATGATGCGGGCCGACAGCCCTTTGGTCATCACCCAGACGCCCTCCTCTGCCAGCAGCTGCTTGAACGTCTCGATGACGGACGACTGTCCCTCCACCTGGAGGACACGGACCAGATCAGTTGTCAGGTGCAAATACTCGTCTGCTTCTGTTCTAAAGCTTCTTCATCCTTTAGAAATTTAATCTTTATAACCCGCTGCCAGAAAGCAGGAAATGGAAAGTAATATTTTTGCATTTATCTGGATCTGTGTTTCTCTTGTTAGCAAAATATTTCTTAAACCAATGAAGGAATGTTAATGCAACACTCAGAGAACTGTTGGATGTTGAGCTACAAGTGATCAACATTTTGGAGTCAGTCTAATTCAACATGGCCGCCACAGCTAATCAACCCTAAAAATAAAAAAAATGGCTCTAACTTTACAGAGATAGAGCTGAACTTTGGTGTGGTAGTAGCTGAGAGTCATCTCAAACACGTACTCTGATCACCTGAGACCAGGGTTTAATTTGAGCTGGATCCTGCCGGAGCAGGATCTGACGGGGTGCGTTCCAGTAAGTGTTTGCTTGAGTCCGGTAACTCTCAGGCTAACTAATAATAAAGTTAATAACAAATTTTGACTGGAGCTCACATGAACCTCTATAGCTGCAAATAATCCTCATCATCAGGGAACGTTGTGCTGAAAAAGCTAAAGAGCTGCACTGTCGTTATAAGGTGCATCTGAAATTTGAAACGAGCTTGTTTGGCAACTTGAGTGCAAACTTATAACATTAAACCCTGATAAACGTGCAACAATGTACCCCTTACTGGAACAGACACACTGATGGAACTGCAGTAAATCTACCAATCAGCTGCTATTAATAAGACAAACTGTGTGTGAACCCAATTATTAGTTTGTGTGTGTGTGTGTGTCCTTGTTTATGCTACTTTGTGAGGCCCATTTTTCCAACTTATACTGCATTGTGAGGACCAACTTCTCCTTATGGGGCCCAAAGCCTGGGCCCCATAAGAAGAAGTCCCGTTGGTGGGTTAGGGGCTAGGTTTAGGACTAAGGTGTGAATTGAGGATGTGTTAGGTTTAGGGTTAGGTATGTACTGGTAATGGTTAGGTTATGGATAAAGGTCATGGTTAGGCTATAGAAATGAATGAAAAATGAATGGAAGTCAATGCAAAGGCCCCATAAAGATAGCAAAACAAACCTGTGTGTGTGTGTGTGTGCGTGCGTGCGTGCGTGAGTGCGTGCGTGCGTGTAAACCCATGTATGTAACCAGTCTGTAGAACAAAGCCAACTTGTGAACATGTCTAAATAAACAACATAAAAACAATGTCACATTTGCAGTTTCGGGTGCTTACTTGAACTCTTGCACGAACGACATCCATGGGGTTTGTGATGGTGGAAGCGGTTGCTGCCGCCATCGGTCCCGCCACAGCCTGCAGCATCAGGTGGGGACACTGACTTGGTGCTAATAAAGACAGCTGTTCTGTGAGGGGAAAGGATAGGAACAGTGTAAGGCCCAAACATGTCATTAAACGAGTACATCTGCAGGTCAGATCTCCGTACGGTACAGTTGTGTGTAGTTTATGATGAGTATCGAGACATGCCGTGCTACAGACGGGAAGAAGGTGTTGACGTACCTGCATAAAAATGATAAAAAGGCCACCAGAGAGCGCTGTTGGGTATGTACGTGAGCAGCGACGCCACGTAGCCCCGGTAAAATCCCCTGAAACCGTCCGCTGCAAATATCTGCACAGTGATGTCCCGCGTGTGCCCAAAAGTCGGCCTGCGCTTGGTCGCGACGAGCATAATTTTGGGTTTGACTTTGAAGCGCGACATGTGCTCCCCTTGTCCTTGCATCATCAGGTGCTGGGACACCACGTCTATGGGCACGGTGATGGTCTGAGCCACCAGGGACGCCGCCCCTCCTGCCACCACAGACTTCACCGTGTTGCTGGGCGTGTAGGAGGACACGTGCCTGCGCACCAGCTCGTAGGTGGTGATGTACGCCTGACCCGACACCAGGGTGAACGTGTTGATCATGAAGCCGCGGTAGAGACCCCTCATGCCTTCCCTTCGCAGGATCTTGCAGAAGGCGTCGAAGGTGCCAGAGTACAGGGCTTTTCCCTTCTGCACCTGCAGACGGGTACGGATCAGACTGAAGGGGTAGACGGTGGCCCGTGTGGTCAAGGTCATCAACACGCCCAGGGAGTAGAACTTCCTCTTGTCCAGGTCCTCCCATTCGATAATCTGGATGGCACCTTTCTGCTGCATGGTGCTGGTCAGGGCAGGGCGGCAGCCCTAAAGCCACAGCTCTGCACCTACGGACCCTGCTGCTTCCATCCGCCCTGCAAGAAGCAGGAAGGACTCGTGAGCCTCGGCCACATTCTTCCTTTCATTCATGGCTTGGATATCAATTCCATTTAACCTTAACAGAAGCATCTGTAAAGAACCTCGAAGGTTTATACAGAATAAACACCAAGCTCTTGGTTGAAAAAATAAAATATATGAGAAAAAATATTTACAGCAACATTAATGTCCACGACTACTGGAAGTGATTTTTAATCACATGCTAGAGCTATTCTAAGAAAAAATGTAAATCGTTCTGAACGCATCAAAAATATCTGCTGTTATTTTGAAGCTGGCTTTTGCAGTGCTTTTATTTTGAAGGTGAGCGGGCGTTAGGTGTTCATGTGCAGGTCAGGAGTCTCTCCACTGAGTGGAGTTTGTGGTGTAAAAGTTACCATTGTGTCAAAAAACTTTAATCAACTGGTGATTAATGAGCTTCTGCAAAACATGAAGCGGTAATTCAACCATTTAATCAGGTCCAACATTTCCTTTCCATGTTGGATTGTACACCTGGATTATTGAGCATGGACGTTGTCATTTCATCAGGTGTGTTGGAGCAGAGAAACAAATAAAACATGCTGAATAGTGGACACCCCTGCTTTAAATGAAGTAAAATAAATACAAAAATAAATAACTGTATTTTGTTAATTTTATCCAGATACTTCAGAACATACACATTATTTCCACTGATGTTTGTGTGGCTGTTCATAACTAAACACATTAAGTTTAAATTCTCAGTACGCCTGATTCTTATTATTATTGTTCACTCTTAGCAGCTGATAAGAAATTATAGCCAATTACACTGCCTGGCCAAAAAAAAAAAAAAAGTCGCCACCAATAAAAGGTCACGCACTAATATTTCGTTGGACCACCTTTATCTTTGATTACATCGTGCATTCTCTGTGGCATTGTTTCGATAAACTTCTGCAATGTCACAAGATCTGTTTCATCCAGTGTTGCATTAATTTTTCACCAAGATCTTTCATTGATGACGAGACACTAGTCATGATGGGTGCATCACTTCACCTGCCTCTCTTCTTACCCTGATGTGCCCATGACTCTGGAACTGGGTCAATCTGGACTCATCAGACCACATGACCTTCTTCTATTGCTCCAGAGTCCGATCTTTATGCTCCCTAGCAAATTTTTCCAGTTAGCCTCACTGATTACTGGTTTTCTTAAGGCTACACAGCTGTTCAGTCCCAGTCCCTTGAGTTCCCTTCACACTGTGCGTGTGGAACTGCTCTTACTTTCACCATTAAACACAGCCGAGTGCTATTGTTGTTGTTTTTCTTGAATTTGATTTCATCAAAGTGATCACCGATCATTCTGAATTTTTTCCCCGGCCACATTTCTTCCTCGAAGACGATGGGTCCCCACTATCCTTTCAGTTTTTAATAATGCGTTGGACAGTTCTTAACCGAAGTTTAGTAGTTTCTACAATCTCCTTAGATGTTTTCTCTGCTTGATGCCAATGATTTGACCCTTCTCAAACAGACCGACATCTTTTCCACGACCACGAGGCGTGTCTTTCCACATGGTTGTTTAAGAAATGAGAAGCAACTCGTTGCACCAGTTGGGGTTAAATAACTTGTTGCCAGCTGAAAGATAATGCCCATGCAATAATTATCCAATAGGAGGCTCGTACCCATTCGCTTAATTAAATCCAGGTGGTGACTTTTTTTGGGGGGGGCAGGCAGTGTATAGGGAGAGGTGGGTGAACCTGCTCAACAATCCAAGTTTGAGGGGAAATAGTTGCCCACAGCTGCTGTAAAGCATAATTAAACATGAATTATGTTATTTTAACATTTACAACATGGTGCTTACCCTTCTCTCAGAGAATTGTTTGCCCTTTTAAAATTCTTAAAGCAGCATATTGATGATTACCTCCTTGATGTGTGTGCTCTCAGGTTCACATGGTGCAGTTTGATTTTTTTTTTTAAATTTCTTATTAAATTCACTGATCATCTGCATTTCGTTTCAAACAAACTCACTGTGGGCAGCATCTGTCATGTCTCAGAAAGAGCTCAAACTCTCACCCGGAACGTTACAGAGCTACACAGAGTAACGTAGAGCTACACAGAGTAACGTAGAGCTA